TTTCCAATGATTCCCTATGGGCAAGTGTTTTCCAATGATTCCCTATGGACAAGTACGGTTTCCCTATGGGCAAGTTTTTGTCATTTGTTTTAGTTGTACAATGAAACCTGTGCTTTGTGTGTTCCTGCTTGGCAGAATGGAGTCGGACTGGATGGTGCGGGGTGTGTGTGGTGTCTTCCAACTCTATGATGATATGTGTATGAAGAGTCTGTGGCTATGGAGGTGTGTGACTCTAAAGGCATTTAAGTGACAGGAAAAAAGGAGAGACCCAGACCGAAGGCCAAAGAAGCCCCTCTCGCAAAGACACCTCAGGAGAGCCGCCCAACCGCCTGAGGAGAGGGGAGCGCGCGCGCCCCTCCTGCGCTGAATCTCGACGGAAACCCTGCCTCCCCCTCTCTTCAGGGTGGTCTCGTCCATCTCCCTCCTTGACACCCGCCTGTAGAAAAGAAGCAGCCAATCCCAAGCGAGGGGGAGTGGGCGACGGGAACGCGTGAGGCGGGCAAGGGGGGAGTCGCCCCTCGACTGACGCAGTGTCGCTTCTTGGGCTGGGAAGGAGGCGGCTGGAATGCTGAGGGGCCTTGGAGCCGGTGAGTGAGTGAGTGAGTGGGAAGCCTACTTCTCCTTTTCCCCCTCAAGGGATGAAGGGCGACCAGGGCGAATAGTAGGCCTCCTCCCCGCCCCCCCCCCCAAGAGCCTGTCTTCCCTTTGAGCCTTCTGTCCAGGAGGAATGTTATAATGTCCTCCATTTTGAGCAGGACCAAGAAACATACGTTTTACATCGATCGTGAGTCCCTGCATGGCTGTGATTGTGAGTTCCTGCATGGCAGAATGGGGTTGGACTGGATGGCCCTTGGGATATCTCCCAATTCTAGGGTTCTGTGGCTCTGTATTTCTATGAGTGCTTTCAGTTGGCCGTGTCCTCCCTCTTTCCTGGAACGTCCTCCATTTTGTGGCGCCTTATCTTATATATAAGCTGGAGCGTGTCCAAAGGAGGGCAACTAAAATGGTGAAGGGTCTGGAAACCATAAAGCCCTATGAGGAGAGACTTAGGGAGCTGGGGATGTTTATCCTGGAGAAGAGACAGTTAAGAGGAGATAGCCCTGTTTCAATGTTTGAAAGGATGTCATATGTCTTGGATGTCCAAGAAGGAGCAAGATCTATAAGAACGAAATATACATATATGGATATATAGATCTTGTATACCTATATATCATATCTTCCTTTGCAGGTCTCCCTGCCTTAAAGGCGATCCTATCACGGGGTCTTTTTCTTGGCAAGGTTGGTTCAGATTTGGTTTACCATGGCTTTCCCCTGAGGCTGAGAGAGTGTGACTGGCCCAACGTCACCTAGTGCGTTTCATGCCTGAAACCAGAAAGATGAAAGGCGAAGGCTTCATCTCCTCAGACCTCGAAGATGGAGGAGGGTTTTGACGCAGAGGTGTCAGGAGATAGATAACACGTGTGTGTGTGTGTGTGTGTTACACAGCTGCAGGAGGAGTGACTTTTGAGTCCGCCCTGCAGCACTATTGGTTGGAATTGCGCTTGCTTAGGACGCTAGGGTTATTTGTTTTAATCCTTAATCTTCCCCTTCATTTAAATCAGGGGTAGGCAACCTTTCCCCTTTAAGGGCCGAGAGACTTCAGCTCCCAGAATCCCAGGAACTATTGGCCAACGTGGGACTATTGGCCAACATGGCTGAGGCTTCTGGGAGCTGAAGTCCCTCGCCCCTTAAAGGGGAAAGGTTGCCTACCCCTGATTTAAAACAACAACAACAAGAGCAAACAACGGGGTGGCTAGGTGTCCTAACCTTAAAGGAGGACAAGGCGCCACAAGATGGAGGGCATTCCGGAAAAAATGGAGGACATGACCAAATAAAAGCTAAAAGCACTCCTAGAAATGTACATCCATCCATCCTTCTTAGTTATGCTCAAAATGGAAGACATCTGGGATTACTCCTGGACAGAAGGCTGAAATGTAGGACTTGCCCTGGGAAAGGAGGACTTCTGGTTACCTTGAATAATAATAATAATAATAATAATAATAATTTATTCCATAGGAAGGTGGTGCCTTCTTTCCCAATTTGTGCTTTCCCACTATCATTTTCAGTAGGGACAGAATATTGGCCATGAAGCAAGTCCAGTAACATAAAAAATCCACCAAACAGTGATGCCTTTATGGGGCCAACCAAAATGCACAATATACATGTTGCAAGCTTTCAAAGCTCCACTGGCCTCTTCATCAGGCAACATGTTAAAAACCAGAAAAAAAAAATTGAAGATGTTAATCATAGGCCTGCTTTTTGTTGCTTTTGTTTTTAGTTCAAATGCTATGGAGGGATATCTCTTGCAGGCTGGCACCTCCTCCTTCTGGTCATGTGGTAACTGGGAAATTCTCAAAGTCCAGGAAGTGTGACATTATTTGCAACACAAAAAGATACTTCCTTTGCAATCCAGTTTGCCTCCATCCTTTGTGAGGCCTCAAGCCCCTTTGTTGATCAGAGATAATCTTTGGACAAGCTTCCCCCAAGTGTCCCCACCATTTGGCAGTCAGAATGAGTCCCCTATAGAAATCTCACTTTGCAGAGGTTCTCCTGATGTTGGGTCATTGTGTGTTAACTTTCTTAGGCCTTACTTAGGAGTTTATCACACAGGGGAAATCCCGTGCAGAAACGCGATTTTAAAGGTGTGGGAAACCCGCAAAAGCGGGCAGATTTTCATACACATCGCTGTTAAAATGGGGTTAACCTGAACGGAAAGTACTCAGAAACTGTTTCTTTTTACTTTTGGCATTTTACGAAAGTAAAAAGAAGCAGTTTCTGACTACTTCCATTCGGGTTAACCCCATTTTAACAGCGACCTCGTCTGAAAATCTGCCTGCTTTTGCGTGTTTTTTTTTCAATTTAATACCCCGTTTCTGCACAGGATTTCCCCCGTGTGATAAACTCCCTAGCTGAGTTATTTCCTCTCTTTACTGGGATTTGGGCTGTTGCAGCCACCTTGGGAGCAGTCACAGAGAAGCCCCCCTCTGTGTTGTTCATTTTACATTTCCAGATATTGTTTATTTTAATGTTGTTGTTGTGTGCCTTCAGATGACCATAAGGTGAACCTGTCATGGAGATTTCTTGGCAAGATTTCTTCAGAGGAGGTTTGCCATTGATTGCATCATATAGACATTACTTATTCCAGATACACTGATTCTCTGTACTCTTAGTGAAAGCTTATTATATAGAGACCTATTCAGTCTTATTTCTCTTTATCTTTAATCCTGTATCTCTTATCATAGACATTATATAGTGTAGCCATCTTGCTTAGACATTACATGATCTTAGGCAAAGTATACATTGAGCATTTCTCAGATTTATAAGACCCATGGTACTCATAGTACATTGCATTGATAAAAGAGCAATATCTTACATAGGAGCGAAACAGATGGCCCTGAAGTGGAGGCATGATGCTGCCCCTTTGAGCACCAGATCAGAGCCGTGGCAACCGCACACTACGGCCCCAATCTGGCTATTTGCCGGCTCAAAAAGAAGCGTCAGAAAGCTGCTCCTTTTTGAGCTGGCAAAAAGCCAGCTTTTTTGCCAGGCCAGCAGCGGCTTTTTGGCATTTCTGCAGCATGGGTAAACGCTGCACTGCTGGAACGCTGTGACGTCACCCGTTGTGTGGTCAGTGGGGCAGTGTGACACTGGCTTGGGGTTGGCATCAGGGTGTGCAGCATGCGTATGCCATGCCCCCACACTATCCAGAAGCCGGTGTATTGTGCCAGTCTGTTTTGGTCCATAATATTGGTTATAAAGGTAAAGGTATTCCTCTGTGACAAGGTTGTCAAGTCGTGTCTGACTGTAGGATGCAGTGCCCATCTCTGTTACTAAGCCAAAGAGCCACCATTGTCAGAGACTACTCTGTGATCATGTGGCCAGCATAACTGCATAGAATGCTGTTACTTTCCCACCAAAGTGGTACCTATTTATCTACTTGCACTTTTACATGTTTTTGAACTGCTTGGTTGGCAAAAGCTGGGACAAGAACTCAATCCGTCACATGGCACTTGGGCCTCAAACTGCTAACCTTGCGACTGTCAATCAGCATCTTAACTACTAAGCATAATATATCTCGCATTAAATCTGTAGAGGAATTTATATACCTGTGATTCTCTGAGATCTCAGTATATTTCATGAATGCAGCATAGCTATTTGTTTGTTGTTGTAATGTGCCTTCAAGTCCTTTCCAACTTATGGCGACCCTAAGGCAACCCTATCACAAGGTTTTCTTGGCAAGTTTGGTTCAGAGGAGGTTTGCCATTGCCTTCCCCTGAGGCCAAGAGTGAAACTCAGTTAAATTCTGTTGTTGTTGTTGGTTGTTGTTGTTGTGTGCCTTCATGTTGTTTCCACCTTATGGTAACCCTAAAGACATAACCCTATCATGGGTTTTCTTGACAAGTTTCTTCAGAGGAAGTTTGCCATTGCCAGCCTCTGAGGCTGAGAGACTGTGACTTGCCTAAGCAGACCGAACAGTGATTCCAACCCAGTCTCCAAAGTCATATTCCAGCACTCAGAACATAACACCATGCTGATATTTGCCTTCAGGATTGAATTTGAAGTACCAACTCAACCATCAGGCTCACAAGGTTGCTAAGTCACTGCATCACTTTTCCCCTTCATTTTGATTCCCCATAAATGACCCATTACCATCCTCTGAGGTTGAGAGAGTGTCACTTGCCTAGGGTAACTTATGGGGAACAAAAATGAAGGGATAAAGTGACTTAGCAATGTTGTGAACTTGATGGCTGAGCTAGGACTTTGAATCCAATCCTGAAGGCAAAGACCAGCGTGGTGTAGTGGTTTGAGTGTTGGACTGCGACTCTGTAGACTAGGGTTCGAATCCCTGTTTGGTAAACCTACTCTCTTAGCCTCAGAGACAGGCAAAGGCAAACCCCTTTTGAACAAATCTTGAACCAGTAATAGGGTTACCTAAGGGTTGCCAGAAGTTGGAAAAGACTCACACCAACACAACACACAGCTAAGGTTGTATAGAGACTCTCATGTCCTTGAGTTTACCCTTTTCTTGGCTGGCTTCCACACAAATCATTTTGGTACAGTTGCTGAAATTTCCAAATGGCTTGATAGCTTCCATGAGCTTCTGTGGGCATTCCGTTATTGCAAGAGTAAATTAAAAATCAATCTGAATCTGTGAAGTCGAAGGCTTTCATGGCCAACATCCATAGTTTTTTGTGGGTTTTTCGGGCTATGTGGCCATGTTCTAGAAGAGTTTCTTTCTGACATTTAATCTGGATCTATTTGAAGATCTCTGGATGCCTGAAATAGTTCAGCAAGGTTTTCTGAGTTGCTATTTAATAGTGTTCTTGTTGATCTTTGTTGGGTGCTTTCAGGTTGTTTCTGACTTAGAGGCACTCTAAAGCAAACCAGTCATGGGGATTTCTTGCCAAGATTTGTCGAGAAAGTGTTTGCCATGGCCTTCCTCTGAGGCTGAGAGATTGGGGCTTGCTCAAGCCCTATTGGGTTTCCATGGCTAAGCGGGGCTTTGAACCCTGGTCTGCAGAATCATAGTGCAATGCTCAAATCACCAAACAACAACAAAATGACTCCCCCTTGTCCTCTTTGCTCTAAATTAGATTGCTGACATGAAAAATGCATAAGGTAATAAAGAATGTTATTTTTGTATGGAAAGACTGTGAATGGTTTTCAGAACAAATTTCTCCAGGGACAAAATTCTGTAATCCTAAGCATGTATTTTTTTGCATCAGGGCAATGGAAGGGTTGCTGTGCTGTTTTGTATTACTAGGCACACAGTAGTGAATAGCATGCAGTGTCTTTTGTGTTCACAATATTTTTGGTTACACCCACCAATATGTAGATAGTACCAAAGTGGTTGAAAGCGAATGTAGTGCAAGTGGCTTGAATGATGGACTGTGACTCTGGAGACCAAGGTTCAAACCCCTGCTTGGCCATGGAAACCTGCTGAGTGACCTTGGGCAAGTCACACTCTCTCAGCCTCAGAGCAAGGCAAAGGCAAAGCAAAGCCTCTCTGAAAAAAATCTTGGCAAGAAAACCCCATAATAGGTTCCACTTGAAGGCACACAACAACAAAACTAAAGCGCTTGCTGTTTGCAAGAGTGTGCTGAGTCAAGTTACATTCTTACAATGGAAAATGTCACTTTTTGTTACATAAGAAATGGGAAGGATGCTTGTAATATGATCCCTGTCTCCTCTGCATTTTCTTTTCTGAAACATTGTTCCACATCACTTTTAACTTAGAGCAGGGGTAGGCAACCTTTCTGAGACCTGGGCCGGTATCCCGTAGCCCAGGTCTCGGCTGGGCTGAGGGGGGGGGAATGGCAGCGCACGCTCTCACGCACGTGCACACTGCCATAGCTCCCACGGTTGCAGCCGCCACGGCGCATGTCGCGGCCGCCATTTTGGAAGTCCAAATCGCGGCTGCGACATGTTTGCACATGCACAAGAGTACTGCGCATGCGCAAACGCGTCGCGACCGCCATTTTGATTTCCAAAATGGCGAGCGCGGCCGCAGAGCAGCAAAAACGCGCAGCGGCGGCGGTGGCGCAGCGGCGGCAATCTTCGGCCTGGGCCGGTAAGTCCGGGGACCGGGGCCTTAACCGGCCCCCGGGCCGTAGGTTGCCGGTCTCTGGCTTAGAGTTTCTCAAAATTTGGTCCTCTGGATGTTTAGAACCCAACTCCCAGAAGTCCTACCTAGCCAGCTCTGCCAAGGATCAGAGATTCTTGGGGTTGCAAAAACATCTTGAGGAACAAAATATTGAGGAGCGCTGCTTTAAATGGAGAAAATGTTTTGTACATAAAGATTGCATAAGAAGAGCCCTCCCTCCATTACCATCTGATGTCATCTGGGGGAGAGACACTAGGCCAGCTCCTTCAGGCCTAAAATAATAAGAAGAGCCCTCCCTCCATTACCATCTGATGTCATCTGGGGGAGAGACACTAGGCCGAGCACCACCCAGTCTAAAATAAGAAGAACTCTTATTTCTTAAAGGATGGGTGGGATTCAGGATTTTATGTTTTGTTTAATGGAAATTGTAATATTGTAAGCCGCCCTGATTGCTCTGCAGAGGGGCAGGATATAAATAAAAATTATTATTATTATTATTATTATTATTATTATTATTATTATTATTTCCAGCATTTGCTCATCTCCCACAAGAAGTATTTTGCAATCCATCTCTACAAACCAGCAGGAAAGTCAGTGCACTCTTTTCTTGTGCTTTTGTTAAGTTTGATATCATTTTATGCTGTCTTGAGGCACAATTGGAGCTCTCCTTCCTCTGAGCTCTGTCTTATCAGTTATGAGCAGCATGTGGTTTTAGTTAAAATCACTCTCACTGCAACTAAACCATGAAAATTTGCTCTGTGGTTTTGTTTATTATATTATCTGAATGTGAGCACTTTATCTTTTTTTGTTTATTTTTTCTCACAATAAACTAGACAAACATACCATGGAATCTTTTCCTGTTTGTTGGGAGAGAAGCAAATCCCAAAAGATAAAATCTTGGGTCCATATTTGCATCAGATAATAAACAAAGCTCCATGCTTTTTTGAGCTGCTTCTGTTGCAAGCAGGAGCAACTGGGGAGCATGAACCAGTGGACTGCTTGTAACTGGGCTCACACAGTTCCTTGGCTTATTGCACCGTCCAAACCCACCAGATGTGTCTTACTTCTGAGCAGAAATATCATATTGTCTGCTAGTTTTTTTTTTTTTTTGTGGCACAGGTGTATTAATTGAATCATCTCAGTTTTGTATGTGTGATCTGTTGTAACTGTTACATGGATTTGTAATTGGTTGACTGGCCGAACACAAAGG